AAAAGCAGGAGCTTGGCGCCGGGGTATTTGCAGCCCGGGGGGCGGCGGGGGGTGTCGGCTCGGCTCTTCTCTGCGAAACCGCGGATTTGAGCTGTTCTCCCCCAAGCGTTCTCGCTCCGATTTATTTACCCATTATTAAAGGTAGAAGCGGAGTCGGTGGCTTAAAACCCGGCTTTTGTTTTCATGTTTCGACAGTGGAACAACACATGGCGGGGGGAAAGCAGCACCGAGGACCTTTCCAGGGGGTCCGTGTGAAGAACTCGGTGAAGGAGCTCCTGCTGCACTTCAGGAGCAGCAAACAGATGTCCTCGGGCTCCGCCGCGGAGGAAGGCAAGGTAACCTGCGTTGTTCAGCACTGACATCATTGCTTTTAGGGGTTACTGCAGCTGGCAAAAAACTGGCATACGATAACGCTAGGAATGAGCTTGCTGCTTTATCTGATGTGGATGGAGTCAGTGCTTTCCCTTCTCAATACGTAATGGGAGAACAGAGTTGGGAAGAAATTACTGAGAAGGGTTACCGTGGCAGAAGGAGGCACGTAATGTTCTTACTGAGCTTTATTTTCTAAAGGGAGTTTGGGCGAAGATACGTTTGTGTTGCGAAACCACAGAAACTCCCTGTTAACTTGAATGAGGTCATTCATTGTGAGAGTTGGGGAATCTTCTCAGAAGAGAATCATTTGTTGTGCCATTGTGCTCCTCTGTGCGGAGCACGCAGTATAAAGGCAGACCTCTCCAGTCCGGAAAGATAGAAACAGGAAAAAAAAAAAAAAAAAAGGAAATTCTGGGAAGATTAAAGTTGTTGGGTTTTTTTTTGTTTAGAATGGTCTTTCCAAGCATGCGTTTGCAAGCTTATTTGATAAGTGTTGTCACAGGAAGATTTTTGCATAGAAAAGTTCATGGCATTAAAGAAGTAGAAAATTGGCTGGCTGGCTTAGGGTTTGGAAAAAAAAAACCACCTCAGACCCCACTAAGGAACGGTGTCTTTCTCTAGACTTTTTTGAGTTTTGCGGTATTGTAACAAATAGCTTAAAAAGCCTTAAGAAAAACGGTGGTTTTCATTTAAGTTCCATAAAAGTATTTCCATTTTCTAACCTTAATTAAAACCAATTAAATTAGGGTTAGACAATCATGTACTAGAATTATTCTAAGGTATATTCCATGTTTATGGAAGCAAGTTGCCGTTGCTTTCTTTGTGGTTTTGTTTTTTTCCTGAAATAACCGTATAATAATGGAATAATCTGGATTTTTCTCAAAAGGCACAAGGAGGATTGGTGAGCTACGACCAGTACACAGGTAAAAAACCCCTTTTTTAAAAATACCATGCAATAAGATTTTAGAAGTCGATTGTAAGAGTAACATCCAAATGGATTCTGATTTTACTTTCTTTTCAGCAGAGCCTAAGAGCATACTAGGTCACAGTGGCAAAAGAAAGGCTCCTGAGCTCCTTTCTGATGGACCTTCTTTCAAACGCCAAGCTAATGTTCACCCACACCTCCTGGTAAGCTTGTAGTAATTTTCCCCATGCCTTTCCCATGTTTTTCAGTTTGCTTTGTGTGATCGGAAACTACCAGATACAACTATACCTCTAACTTCCTGGGGCTTGTTTTCATTTTTTTTTCCTTCTGACAGACACCACCCCAGACACCAACTTCTATGGATAGCATGGAGGAGACTCATAAAAATGATCCAAAGCACGACAGCAGTTCTGACCTGCTTCAGAACATTATAAACATCAAGAATGAGTCGAGCCCCATTTCTCTGAACACGGTGCAGGTTAGCTGGTTGCCCACTATCTCCAGTCACAGCTCGCCCAGTGAGCAGTACCAGGACAGCCCGGGAACACAGGCTTTCTCACCGTCCCAGAAGTACCAAGCATTCCAAGATCACACCTCCCAGCATATGCTTGACCCGCCGCAGCATTACCAGTTCCCTCCATCCCAGAACCAAGATTTGTCACAGAGCTATCCTTCGGAAGCCTCCCTGGAGTACAGGCCATTTGCTGCCAGTGACCAGTCTCCTGGCTACCAGCAGAATTCCTTTGAGAGCCATGAACTGCAGTACTGCCCGTCGCAGAGCTTCTCCTCCCTCTTGAACGACTCTGAAGGCTCGGAGGGCATCTCCACTCCCATCCAGCCGCTGACCAGTGCCCACCCACAGGCTGATGTCGACCCCCACACTCCGAACTTCAGCTTGCTTTCCAATACCATCTGTAGTAGTCTGGAGCGCAGTGTCTCTTTGGCTGCTTTGAATGTCTCGCTACCTGACCAAAACATTGCCAGAAGCACGTCGCAGCTGGGCAAGTCATTTTTTCAGTGGCAGGTGGAGCAGGAGGAAAACAAACTGGCTAACATCTCTCAAGACCAGTTCCTTGCAAAAGACTCAGATGGAGACACGTGAGTGCTGTTTACCTCCGTGTTTCTGATGTGGAAGGTTGGGGAGTGTTTCTGTTTGGGTTTTGGTGGACCATGGGGTTGTAATGGAAGCATTTTATTAGCAGTGTTTGTGTCATGAGTGTGGTGGTTTCACTAATGAAGTGAAACGTGTGGTTTTGCCAATGGGCTGTGATGCACAGAGTTGCAGCACACTGAGCAGATAAGGTGTTTGTATTGTCTAATTTCAGGTACTTATCATTAGATTTTTATCTAGTAAATGGGCAGAAGATGATCTGAATTTAGATGAATTTAAAATTGCCCTAGGAAGAGTGTACCCGTGTTTCTGTCTTAGTCATGCAGAGGAGGCCTGAAGCTGTCAGCGTTACACACCTCCCAGATGTCTGGATCTCTGTAATGACTTGAGCCCTCGTTTGTGTGGTGGTGTAACTCTGTGTTTCCCCTCTTTTCTGCAGCTTCCTTCACATTGCTGTTGCCCAGGGCCGACGAGCGCTCTCCTACGTTCTTGCAAGGAAGATGGCTGCTCTGCACATGCTGGATATTAAAGAGCACAATGGCCAGGTGAGGTTCTCACGATCTCTGCGCCTGACTGCTGCTGCGTGTCTGGACCTTGAGGAAGATGTGAAATGCTTATTTAATATTAACCCTGAGATTTTAGCCTGCATACTAATATTAACCTTGAGCTATTAATACTTCTTGGGATCACCTTGAGCTGGTAAAACTATGTGCTCTGCTTCATTTGTCCTGGCTTCCTGCTATTCATAATCGCTGCTTAAATAATACCAGGTATAGACTTTTTATTTGGTTTAGTTGCTCTTTCCTGTTAGAGATCAGATGACTAATAGTTTAAATTTTCTTGATGTTTGCAGAGTGCTTTCCAGGTTGCTGTAGCTGCCAATCAGCATCTCATTGTGCAGGACTTGGTTAGCTTAGGGGCTCAAGTCAACACCACAGACTGCTGGGGTAGAACGCCACTGCATGTTTGCGCTGAGAAGGGGCATGCCCAGGTCCTTCAGGTAAGAACCAGGCAGGCATAGCTCTGCCCTGACCGTTAATGCTTTGTATTAGTTGTCTTGGGAAACTGAAAACACTGCTCCTCCCTTTATCTTCCTCACTGTAGCCCTGTGTGTCTCAGGGCTCTACGGTAATGACTTGAAGTGAGGCTGAATTTCACGTTGAGGCTCTCACCAATATTTTCGAGTAATTTGGTGGAATCCTCTATTCTATGAAAACAATAAGTCTCTTCTTCATGCCATTATTTTTTTGAAACTTTGTTGCAGTAAGACTGTATACAAGCTTGAGGAAGCAATATGTGGTTTGGATAAGACCTAAATGCATACCTGTTCCTATTTTTGTAGGCAATCCAAAAGGGAGCCATGGGAAGCAATCAGTATGTGGACCTTGAGGCAACAAACTATGATGGTGAGTAGCTGAGTTTATAATTTACAGAGTTACTGGATGTTATAATGTTTTATAGCTGCTGATGTGAATGTTTATCCTGAGTTGAGAAGCAATAAAATTGGAGCCTATCTTTGCCAGGTTGAAATTTACATTTACAATTGAAATCACATTACAATTGGCATATCTGTCAGATAAATACATGGCTAGTCTACGCTTGTCTGGACCTCTTTTCTCTTACATGCGATTGCTGTGTTTGGCATGGAGAGCATAGGTAGTAGTTGGCTATTGTTTAAAACATTTGAATGCCAACGATACATCAGTGCACACAGAAGCCAGAATCTCTGGCACCAGAGAGTTATTTTAATTGAACCTATTTTCTATATAACAGCTATTTCCTAATGTACATTTAGGAAATTAGAAATTGATTCTTTCATTATCTGCTGGCTGAGAGCTCACAGTAGGTTGTTACTTAACTTCTTTGATGAACAACCCAAATCTCAAGCCACTGAGGAGCAGTCACTGTCACTCTACAAATGTAGAACTGTCCCTGGACTTGACAGGGGTAGAAGGTCCTTTTTCTGTCCTTTGGAACAAGCAGCCAGTCAGTGCTGCTGTAACTGCATTTGTTAATTAACGATGATTTTTTTTCCTTAATGTTAAGGTTTGACGGCATTGCACTGTGCTGTTCTGGCCCATAATGCTGTGCTGCATGAACTGCAAAACAGTCAGCCACCTCACTCCCCTGAGGTTCAGGAGCTTCTGCTGAGAAACAAGAGCCTGGTAGAAACCATCAAGACTCTGATACAAATGGGAGCCTCTGTTGAAGCAAAAGTAAGTAAAATAGCTTTGTCATTTGTGCCAGATCCAGAGAGAATGTGGAAGCAGAACATGTCCCTTTCACATCACATTTCAGCTTTATTACAAAGGAAGTAGACTAATTTGAAAGCTTCCCTACAGCTTAATTTACCCAAGTGGAATAAGAATGTTGCATTTATTCAGAGTAAGGTATTATTGATGCAAATGAACCCCGGGGAGAGAGGGAGGTGACACTAATTTCTGGATTAAGAATGATGTGATGCTGGCTGCAGTTGATTATGTCTTAAAAGTAAGAATATATTTGGAGCATTCTTGAGGAATCCGTAGTAAGTAATAGGGTGCTGATGATACCTTGTTCTTGAACTGCAATTTTTAATTTAAAAACTGCTTACCTTTCTGGTTTAGGTCTGTGCTGGGCCAGACCATTACTTGATATAACATTTGATATTTTAGCTATGTCAGCTTCTTGTCAAATGGGATCTGGTCCATTGTTCATTAGCTATTCATATTAAAATATATACTCATATTGAGTGTCAGTGAATTGTAGTGCAAATATGTTTGTTCAACCCTCTGATTACTCTGTGTTCTGTTTTATTTCTGTGTGTTCACCCTGGGTAGGTGAAACACCTTCAGGGAAGACTAACAGTTTCTTTTTCGGTAGGATCGCAAAAGTGGTCGTTCAGCTTTACATTTGGCAGCAGAAGAAGCAAACCTGGAGCTCATTCGTCTCTTCTTGGAGCTGCCCAACTGTCTCTCTTTTGTTAACGCAAAGGTATGGTGATTTTTTTCCAAGATGCACATGTGTGCAACACTGAGTGTCCTGAAACTCGTGGCCCTGCCTTTCCTTCACGGACTTACTTTGTCTTCTCCAGGCTTACAATGGCAACACAGCCCTCCATGTGGCTGCCAGCCTGCAGTATCGGGTGAGTCAGCTGGATGCTGTGCGCCTGCTAATGCGGAAAGGGGCTGATCCAAGTGCCAGAAACTTGGAGAATGAGCAGCCAGTTCATCTGGTTCCTGATGGCCTTGTAGGAGAACAGGTAAAAAACCAAACAGCCTGCTGCTCTGTTCCCATCTGTCCTATCTACACAAAGGTCTTATTCCTCTCCAGAAGTTTCTTGTGGGTTTTGAGATGCAGCTTTTAAGGAAAGGATTTAGCAAATGCCATTTTATTTGGGAATCTTTGGTTTCAGTATCAGGATCAGACAGAATATACCAAGACCTGAAATTAGGGGTTTCACTTGCAGCTTTTATTTTTTCTATCTCAGAAGCTTTTTCCTGTCAAGATAGGTTTTTTTAATTTGTAACTTTGCAACATACTGGATGTCATGTGCCTTCTGTTGTTCATCTCTGTATGGCCTGAGATCATGCTTGTGTTGGTCTTGTCATAATGAGTAATGGTAGTTCTTAGACCTGAATAACAGATGAAAATCCCTTTTTCTTAGGAGCTGTACAAATACATGATGAAAAATGTGACTCTTGACCTAAGAAAGTAATAACTTAAGCAACTGAGCAATTCTGTTGCCTTTCATTGATTCAAATACTGTAAAATTGGATCGGTTCTGGTGTAACTGCAATTGGAGCCTAGGCTCAGATACATGAGGAGTGTGGCGCTGAGTCTAGGGTTTTTTATTTGGATTATGACTCACTTTAGGGTGATGAATACTAATGTTTTTGTCTCTTTCTCTTTTCCAGATAAGACGTATTCTAAAAGGGAAGGCGATTCAGCAGAGAGTGTCGCCATTTTAAACTCCATGTTTCTTGGAGTTCAGCAACTCACACTCACTGTCAGTCAGGCAGTCCTAATGTATCTGTAAATAGACCATTTGCCTGGTGTGGGCAAATGTTAGTTGTTTCTATGAAACAAAAGTATTTTGTTCACTATTATATAGTGGGTTATACAAGAGTTAAAAAAAAAAATCCAAACCAAAACCACCCAACAATCAAATTCCTCTGAGAAAATGGGAGTGTTTCATTCCCGAGTATGTGAAACATTTGTCTGGATACCTGGATTTCATAGCTACAGCAAGATCGATTTTTATTTAAACAGCCATGCAGATAACTTCTGGACAAGGAGAATTCTACAGGAAATCTTTTTATTTAGAGAGGGCTGATACATGTCCACATTGCAGAGGTTTTTTTATTGTGTTTTTAGTAACACCTAAGTGCAAGAGAAATATTTTTGAAGTTGTTTATTTATGTAACTTTGTAGCTTTCTTCCAGTATCTTGTGCAGGATTGTATATAGTCACTGGCATTATTGTACAGCTGTATAGTTCTAAGAATCTATTGATCACTTGGGAAATGAACTGAAGAAAAAAGTTCCTTTATCTTGAACTTGTAAATTGCATATAGAGTTGTAATACTACACAGGTGCAAATTGGGTGAATTCTGTTGTGTTGAAAGACTGAAAGTACATTTAAGATAGATTTGTCCAAATTTGCACTGATTTGTGCATGTTCTTGGAGTTGTTAGTAAAACATGAAAAGCCAGTCTTTTTCAGGGGACTGTATCAGTTTTTCTTGTACCCAGTAGAGGTTTTTCTTTTGATGAGACAGTAGATTGGAGGAGAAGGATCATGACTTTTATTGTGTGTATATAACTTTGTTGTGCTTTAAAGAATATGATCCTGATTCAGTGAAAGTATTTAGCATGTACTTAACTGTTGATGCGTGCTGAAATCTCTCCATGTTAATTATAATACTTCGATATGTGTAAGCCCCACTAGTGTCAGTAGGACTTAAGCACATGCGTAAGTAGTTTGGTGAATTGAGCTCTAGTTAATTCTAGAGACTTAGTGTTTTTCACCTCCTAAGCAGAGTTAGTCCATTTATGTTTTTACCTTATAGGTATAGTAGCTAGCCAGGTAATATTTGAAGTTAACATTTTTCTATTTTTTAATAATTGTGGGTATTAATCAAAATGTGTACTGATGATGCTGTATACTTATGTTGGAGAGAACTTTTCTCCTGTCACTTTCTGAATGATACATGCTGGGCTGTAATCCAGTAGTATGTTCTCTGTATGGTATTTGCTGCTTAAACTGCTCTTGAGTCACATGCAGTTCTCTGCTTAACTGTTTAATTAGTCTGACTGCTGTTTTGACAAAGTATGTCTTGTAGACAAGCTAAGTGGAAAAAAATCTACTATGTGGAGGCCTATTTGTGATGTATTTCTTGAAAGGGTCTCATGTAACTTGCATTTGAATAAACATGCTAACTAAATTTTGTTGGTTACTGTCTATGATACAAATAATGATGCCAAAATCAAGCTTGAGATAAAACTGATTTAGCATGGTAATACTGTGACACTGGTCACGGTCCATTTGTTAAGGATGAAATGAAGTCTTTCCATCCTGTTGTTTATGCTTTCTCTTGTGAGTTGTGGGTTTTGAAGTTGGTGCTTGGGTGTTTTAGATCACACACCATGCACTTGTACTGCCTGTGTATTTAGTAGATGTGCCCCAGATAGAGTTAATAGTCACCAGGTTGTCCAGATTGCAGCTTGTTACCTAAACTCTTGTCCCTGTATACTTGAAAGAATGATAGCAGTTCTGAAAATGTCATGTTTTCCTCATGACTTCCTTGCCTTAGTCCTTAATTTTTACAGCTCAGGTACAAGCAGTCACCTTAGCACAGGTGGAAGTCTACATGAGCAAATCTTTCCCACATGGGTAAAGACTGTCCTTACTTCACAAATAAAAAGATGGGCTCTGAGCTTGGCCATGACCTTTCAGGAGGAAGAGCTGTTGTCACACAACTGGCCTTGCTGAGCACTGAACTGGTGAGATGGCAACAGTCAAGAAAAGTGGATGAAGCATTAGGGTCCCATAGGCAATCAAATGAAGGAAACTAAGTGTTTCTATGTTACTGTATTAAACCTGTTGTCCACACCTGCCTTACTGCTGTGTGTGGTTAGGGTGTCTCCTCAAGTGAAAATGTTTTAGGACTGGAAGAGGCCCAGAGGTGTGGAGAAGTTTCCTTGCAGGGAACAACAGAGCAAACTAGGGCTTTTCAGCTGCACAAGCAATGGTTGATAGCAGGTATGACAGGCCTGCAGGGTTGTGTCAGGCCAGAGAAACTGGATCGGGATGAACTGCTCACAGTCCCTTCCAGCATGAGAGCTGGAGGCTATTAATGAAGGTACCAAGTCCACAACAAACAACAGGATGTGATTCCTTGAGGTAGTGGAAGAATGGTAGAATTAAGATATTGGTTGATGTAGGGAGGGCCTGGCTGCATACTTAGGACCTTTTTGTGGAGAGTTTAAAGAGATTAACCATGTGAGGCAGTCCTCTCCACTGTTGAAAGGTGATGTACTGCAGGCTTACCCTGTTCTCAGCTCGTCCCTGGGGATTTGCTAATGGACACTTGCAGACCTGATACTAGACTAGATTATATCCTTTACTCAAATTGTTGTGGTTAGGCTTTTTGTGGTTCATGGGTTCAGTCTGACTCCACTGATACTGGTTGCACCTTTCACAAGAAGAAAGCCTAGGAAAATCATCTTGCAGCTGGTTGAATGCTTAAGGGGGAGTGCTTGTAGATCCTTTGCTATGGCTCCTGCTCTGCGCAAAAACTCATCCCTGGAAGTCTCAAAAATGGCTTTTGGTGCTGAGGTAAGGTGATGGAGAGAGGAGGCTGTGTGTTGTTCAGCAGGTATGAGTGGGAAATCATGATGGAGACTGGAAATGGAATTTAATTTCTAGTTAGGGTATGCAAAGATGAAATGGTACCTCTTTATGTGAACATCTAATTGGGTCTAGATTGTGTTAAAGATGCTGTTGTCTGCACTTCTCACTGCAAGTGACCCTGCCTTAGTGTTTTGTTTTGTGGGTTTTTTTTAATTTTTTATATGAGGAGCCTGACAGTACTGTTTCCACTTCCATTTTCTTTATAAGAGGTAATTACACAGGAAAAAGAATTACTGACGATATATTCTGGCCCTTCAGACAAGCCTGATCTGACTGCCTGGCACTCCTTTCTGGGTGGTGTTGACTGAGTCATCTCACAAAGGGATAAAGTACCTTGGGCTTGTAAGGGTGGCAGAGCATAAGCATGTGTTCAGTTAGTGCTTGAGCATGAAGTAGGTGCTGCTGGTGAGAGGCATTTAGCAAGCAGTGCAGTGCTTTCAGTGGCACTTGTACCTTTCTGGAAGGGGCACTCCAAGTTAGAAAATTCCTAAGGGGAGAATGAAGTGTTCGAAGCTAATTTAATACGCATAGAGCCTAATTTCATTGTCTCAAGAGCTCAGTAGGCAATTTCATAAGAAAGCATCCCTACTCTGAGTAGAACTTGTTTTTCTCTCCTATGATATTGGGAAGTTCTGACATATCTGACATGATATAGTTATTAGGAACAATCCCTTTTTTCCTGAAGCACAAGCGACACTAAATATTTAGCAGGTGTTTACCTGAAAACTTATGGTGCTGGGAAAGTGCTGAATAGTTTTTATTGATGTGGATGAGGCACACCATTCATTTCTCTGGTTGGAGTAGAGGCAGAAGAGACTCTGGCTTGGGTCCGAGTACGGATATTAAGACACACGGAGCTTTGTTCCCAGGATGTTTCTGATTTGTTTGTCTAAGTAAGCCAAACCTCAGGAAAGGGCTGGTTTTTGATTTTTGTGGGCTACTCATTTGGCTGGAGTTGTAGGAGGTGGCAATCCACATTTTACAAAAAATGTGTTCTGCTTCTGGGGATGGAAAAAATATATTTCCCACATTTATTGCTCACTTGATATTTTTATCAGAAAATGAAAACGTAGCCAGGAAGTGCATTCTTGGAGAGGTTGGGTGCGGTAGAAGCAACTATAAAGATATGACATGAACTGCTTGTTCTTCTCGCCTGACAGTTTGCTTATCTGGTTGCCTTTCTTTTAAGAATATATATGTTCTTCTGTGTAAGGGAAGAGCTGAGGATGATTAAAGCACAGTGAACATGGGAAGATAAAGAACAAGTTCCTACAATTAAGTATCTGCCAAAAATTGACTTGGTCTTTCAGTCCATTCAAAATAAATTCTTCTCTTGTTATCTATTACCTTTTTTGAGTGTTTGGTGGTCGTCTTGCTCTGAGATATTGATGGCTTGGGAGAGTCATACAGCTGACTCTTCATGGAGTTGGTTAAGTATCATGCAGCCTCCAGTAGTGCTACCTTTCACTTTTCATGACTAAGACAAGGACCAGTATTGCTGGTGCAGATTGCCTGTGTCTGGATTTAGAAGGCAAGTGGCACCCCAAGACATCGGGGCACCTTTCAGGCAGCATCCTACCTCCCTTCCACACCCCTCCTGGGGCTGCAGTGAGGGCTCGTAGGGCAGCATTTTGCTATTTTGAGAGGAAGCCTCTCTTGGCATCTTTTAATTTCTTCTGCAAGATGAAATACTAATTTGAGAAGAGAAAGGTTTAATTTGCTCAAGAGATGGTCTATAGATATTTCTGCCTCTAAATGATGCTGTTCCTGACAGGTGGCCTTGCTATCTGGGGATGCTCGCCTGTAATACAAAGCCCATGTGGGCGGCTATGATTCCTTGCAGTTTCCCGAGTGTTGCTGGCTAATGAACCAGTGTTTAATCTTACAGTATTTCTTTGTATCTGATCACCGTCGGCAAAAAACTCAAGGCAGCACTAATGAAGTTGGGAACTGCACTAGTGCAGAAATGATATACCAGAGGTTCTTTTTTTTTTCAAATAGTTGAATTTGGAGGGTTGGTTTCTACTTCGGGTGCCTATCTTGGTCTTGCTGGAGAAAGGTAATATATCTTGGTCTGTGTTGGTTTAGTGTGTATTTGTTTTCAGCTCTTGTGATTGAGGCTGACTCATTAAGTCTCTGTTTTACCTGGTAAACCTTACTCAGCTCTGAAAATGTGAGAAACTGGTTGCTGCACTAACCAACTTTTACTTCACACGTGGTTTTCCTTTCAGATTCTGTTGAAATTTATTTCTTCCCCTTTGCTAGTCAGAGAACCTGAGGGAAAGATGACTAAGGTGGTGCTTTAGAGTTTGAAGGGGGAAGAGACAATCAAAAGAAGTTGCCCATTGCTTCTGTAAACTTGTCTGTGTTGGCTGCCTGTGGCTGGTTTTTAGGCCCCAAATAAAAGACTACTTCAGCACTGCTGAGCTCTTTCCATTGACTCAACCTGGGAGAGAGGTACAAATTGGATTATCTCACTTCATGGCTCCTTGGGATGGCCTTCAGTCATTGCTCATGTGGCTCTCCAGGCCTTTCTGGGATGGCCCAGAGCTGCCCTGTAAGCTTCAAACTCAGGCTTGCCATAAAAGAGGACTGGGACTACATAAACACTGCTGTTCATGGCTAGCCAATAAACCCCATGGAGCTGACCAGATACATCTTGTTATCCTCAGGCAGACTACAGGTTCTTGCCCAAGGACTTTTACTCCACTAAAAACAGCCCAGTAAGTGATGCCAATAAATTTGGGGTTTCTGTAAGAAGTACTGGAAATCTGAGGTCACAGCAACAAAGGATCTTGAGAGATGCTTACGGTGATACCTATGGCCTTGTCCTTTGCACTGCACTGCAGTTGGGTGTACTGTGTAAGAGTAAGAACTGGGTCACCAGTGGCAACTCACATATGTTTTGAGGCAAAGTGTTTTAGGAGTTATTTGAGGAAAACCATCAAAATAGTAGCATCCTATTATCATTATTCATCAGTAGATTTCCAGGTGGCTTCAAAAGCCAGTAATAATCCCTAATCCCATCAGCTAGATAAGAAACCAGAAGCAGATGGAAAGAAGCTTGTCTGAAGGTACTCAAGGAACAAAAGGAGCCTCATCCAAAGGCAGTTCAGGCTTGCAATTATCCTTCTAGTTGCCTGCTTGTTCTAAATTAGCTGAATAGTGTAGTGAGCAATGACTGATCTGTAGGTCATACACGTTCCTTTTGTAAGTCATTCATATTTAGCTCATGGTTTTTGTGTGCTTGCTTCAGAGACCCTGCCTGTGATACTGCTTTTGCTCACTGCTAGGATTGCCAGACTTTTCAGGACAACCATGGGACAAAACCTCAAAAATGAGCTGCAAACCCTGAAAAATTTCATCTTTCTAAGCCATGTTTGCTGGAACAGGAAGAAAAAAAAAAAAGCAGACTCAGGCTAGGGAAAATACACGAGAGCAAATTGAGTATGTTATGACTGCAGGGAACTCTGAGCTAGGCCCATGTCTCTAGTCTCATTGCATTTGTGAACATCTGA